ATTGACTGGGCAAAGATTGGAATCAAGGCTTGAAACTTAGTATGGATAAACTTGGGAGTCCAATATGAAGCATGAAAGTCATCTTAGGCATTTTAGGTCAAAACATCTTTGTGCAAACACAAACCCTAACTTGGGTCAACAGTGCAAGGAGAAGTCTTGAGCAGAGGAAACCCTAACTGGATCTTGAGCTCCCAGGGTCTTGTGATGAGAAAATAGTGATGAAATGGGAGGGCAAATTTTGGGGTACAACACCTAATATTTCGCACCTTCACGTTTTCAGATGTAAATGTTTTATGTTGAACAATGGAAAGGAAAATCTTGGTAAGTTTGATTCAAAAGAAGATGAAGGTATCTTTCTCAGATACTCTCAATCTAGTAAAGCTTATAGAGTATTTAATAAAAGGTTACAAATTTTTGACAAATCCTTGCATGTATCTTTTGATGAATCTTGTCCGAGATCGGTCGGAAAAGGTATTGTATTTGATGGTGCAGGTGTATCTTCGAAAAGTATACTTAAAGATCCGGATGTTGAAAGTAATGAAAATAATTCCCCATTGGAATGTGAATCCATCAAAGAAAAAGATCTGGATACTAAAAGCAATGAAAATGATCTCCCATTGGAATGGAAATCTATCAAGGATCATCCCATCGACAATATCCTTGGAGATATCACAAAAGGAGTCACTACACGGTCCAAGATAAGTAACTTCTGTTATCATTTTGCTTTCGTCTCACAAGTTGAACCTAACAACTCCAAAAACGCTTTACTCGATGAACATTGGTTTTCATCTATGCAAGGTGAGCTGAACCAATTCAAGATAAATGAGGTTTGGGATCTTGTCCCTCCTCCGCGAGACCGTCATGTAATCGGGACTAAATGGGTGTTTAGGAACAAATTGGACGAAAATGGAATAATAACTCGCAACAAGGCTCCCCTTGTTGCTCAAGGGTATAACCAAGAGGAGGGCATCGACCATGAGGAAACTTATGCATTGTTTGCCCGACTTAAGGCTATACGCCTTTTGCTTGCCTTTGCATGTTCACAAAACTTAAAGTTATATCAAATGGATGTTAAGAGTGTTTTTCTAAATGGCTATATTAATGAATAGGTGTATGTATCTCAACCTCCCGAATTTGAAAACTTTGAGTATCCTAACCATGTTTACAAATTAAAACATGCTTTATATGGTCTCAAACAAGCCCCTAGGGCTTAGTATGAACGACTTAACAATTTTTTGTTAGAACAAGGATTCTCAAGAGGAAAGGTCGATACAACTCTTTTCATTAAGAGCCAAGGAAAACATTCAATTTTAGTACAAGTTTATGTAGATGATATTATAATTGGTTCTACTAATACATCTTTGGTCAAGGAGTTTTCTAAGTTGATGCAGCGAGAATTTGAAATGAGTATGATGGGTGAATTAAACTACTTTCTTGGGCTTCAAATTAATCAACTCGAGGAAGGAACTTTTGTGAGTCAAACCAAGTATTGTCAAGAACTGTTAAAGCGCTTCGAGATGACTAAATCAAAAGTCATTGACACTCCAATGCCTACCGCTGTTAATCTTGATCGTGACGAACATGGTAAGCCAGTTGATGTAAAAATGTATAGAGGTATGATCAGTTCCCTTCTTTACCTTACCGCTTCTCGTCCCGACATTATGTTTAGTGTATGTATGTGTTCTAGGTATCAATCATATCCCAAGGAGTCACATTTAAAATTTGTTAAGCGCATACTTTGGTATCTTTGTGGTACAACTAAGTATGGGTTATGGTTCTCTAAGGATTATGATTGCTCTTTGGTTTGTTATTCCAATTCCGACTTTGCCGGTTGCAAGTTAGATAGGAAAAGTACTAGTGATACGTGTCATTTTTTTTCAAATTCCCGAGTAAGTTGGCATAGCAAGAAATAAGTTTTTGTTGCTTTGTCAACTTCCGAGAGGGAATATGTCGCAGCCGGTAATTGTTGTGCCCTAATTTTGTGGCTAAAACAACAATTACTTGATTTTGATGTTAGAATCGATCATATTCCAATCTTTTGTGACAACACTAGTGCCATAAACCTAACCAAAAACCTGATTTTACATTCACGCACCAAACATATTGAGATTAGACATCACTTCCTTAGGGACCATGTAGAAAAAGACGATGTCGTATTTGAGCATGTTGATAGCATAAATCAACTTGCAGATATTTTCACTAAACCTCTTGCGGCCGAGCCTTTCTTCCACATTCGTAGGGAACTTGGTGTTCTCGATATTTCAGATAGGTTGCAACTACATTAGTTGCACTTCTCTTATTTATACTTGTACTTTCACGAATTATCTACACTCTTGTATCAAGTTACTTGTGAGGGAAAATTATCACCCTGCATCATATAGGTAATTATCATTTTAACTCTAACTCTATTCTTGATAACTCAATTCAGTAAACTTGAAAATTCTTAATTCCTTGTGATAAGTGTTTTTCAATCTTTGTGATGTGTGATCCATGCTTAAGTAACTATTTATGTTTTATTGTGTCTTAAAATTCATGAATATGTGCAAAATTGAAAAATAAGCATGCTTAGATCGACCTATGACTGAGAACCGTCAACGCATACTGGAACTTATATTTCTCAAAATTTTGCTTCTATGAGAGTGATGAAAATTGATGTTTTTTTGTACTTTGCAAATTTCATGAATTTTAGCTAGTATTCGTTGTTTAATTATTTTTTATTATGACTTACTTTGTGTTTGTCTTCTTCTGAACACCGGCTTGTAACCATACTATATGATTGGTGTCTATTTATTTTCTATGTACTTCTCTAACATCTCTTTATGTGATTGTTTGTTAGAGTTATTGATTGCCAAAGTAGATAATGATCTAACCTTGCTTATATTGATTATTGTTATTTTAACATGTTGCTTTGACTAGTTTTTGATGTTGCCAAAGAGGGAGAAGCATGTGGAAGTCAAGAATAGATGATATGAAAACCAATATGAAACGAAAGGGTGCACATAGATAGGGGAGAAATCTACAACATTAATATTCCAGATACATGGTGCTAAGGACAAGTTTTGCTATCATCAAAAAGGGGGAGTATGTGAGGGAAATATTTCAATGATGTCAAAACTATGTTGGAAATGTTGCTAGATGATATGGTGGACAAAGTAGCATGAAAATTCTTCAAGAATTGGCATTTTTGAAAATTTATATTCTATGAGTCGACTCAAAGAAAGCTCAGGTCGACTCAAAGTTGCTCCTTTGGGATGTATCAGGTTTGCTCACGTCGACTATATGGTCGACTCATCCTGGAAGTAATGTTTAGGAAATATGTTTCGACGCATACCCCTGGAGCGTTCGACGCATGGATCTTGCACTATATCATGTGGCATCTTCGGGAATGCTCAGGTCGAATCATCCTTCTGCATAGGTCGACGCATGGATCGTGAAAACTGTCATATGGCACCTTCGGGAATGCTCAGGTCGAGTCACCTCTTTTGTATAGGTAGACGCATGACTTGTATACACTGTCATATGGCACTTACGGGAATGCTCAGGTCGAGTCCCCTCTTGCATAGATCGACCGTTCGCTCGTGAAAACTGTTTTTCAGTTTGTTAGTTTGGATCTTGACCTTAGATAACATATATATACTTGTTTGGTTATTTCATTTGGTTTGAACAAGAAAGTGAAATAGATACACAAGATACTCATCATCTTCAACCTCTCACTCATCCATTGACAACTACACATAATAATTTTTGTCGATCAAGGTGCGAAGCGTGTGTTGACAACGTCTGAAGTAGAAGATTGTGATCTTGTTCGAGTTGAGTAATTGTGGGTTTTTCTTGAATAAAATATGAGGTTTTTTTCCTCCAAGATCATTGGGATTTGGGTTTTTTTGACAATTCTTTGCTTCATCAAATTCAACCTTGCTTAAGGGATTGAGGAATTATGGATTCACTCAACAAGGTAGCTACAATCAGAGGATTAGGAAGAATTGAGGTCATCATCTTGTGATCAAATCAGCCGAGCAGCGGGTTTGAGAAATAGTTTGAGTTCTCAACAAGGGAGCTACAACCGGAGGTTTATCGAAGATTGATGACATACTTGATTCAAATCGAATCAAGGGAAGAGAGGAGCTTAGTTTTCAATTCAACATGTTGGGTTTGAATTGTGGTGACTATTTTCTATCTCTTGTATAAACTTTGCAATCATAATAGCAAATATCCTAATTCTAAATTCTAGAATTAGAGGAAGACGTACCCCACGCAAGGACGACAAGGGGAACTGCCTTAATAAATCGCGTGTCGTTTTTCTTTCTCGCTCTTTATCGTTTATTTGTAATAATCTGAAAATTTGCTCTTATGGTTCTAATTGTCCTGATTTGTAGTGCAATAGAACTGTTACTAAATACTATAGTAATCACCTTGATTGCTATAATTGATTTCAACACTACAAATTAAGGTAGATTTGACTTGGTAAAATTAAGCACACCAAGTGTTCGATAAAAGTCCAAAAGTGCAAATTTGTGTATTTTCTTCTCAATATTTCATTGGAAGAAATGACAATAGTTAAAGAGTATAAATGATCAATTATAATTGAGTTAAGTGTTAATAATTCTCATTAATTCATTCCATTCGGTTTTTCACATATCCGGTCTTTTCAATAGATGATCGTTTTAGACGAGTGTATGCTGGGTAGCTTTCACTGCGCTTCAAATTTTTCATAAAAATTGATTTTAAAAATCAAGGTATCTATTCAACCTCTCCTTCTAGATACGTCTTATCGTCTAACAAAGAGCAGTAGTAAAAGAGAAACACATCTATAATATAAGAAAATTAGATGTTTTGAAAAATACCAAAACAATCTTTTCTGTTTGTCCTCCACCTCATTAAATTAGGGATATTTTGTGTCCAAAAAATATTTTTTGCAACTAAATTGTACTATTGATTCTAACTCAAACATACTTACTTTCATTTGTTACTTTCATTTGTGTACAAATTGCAAATCCATTTTATCTTTGTAGTTCAAGTACAATTAAATAGTAACTAAAAAGGTACTGTTTTGAATTCAAAATCATTTTTTGGATGAACAGTTGCCACTCTTTCCCTAACACTGAATTTTTCTGAACACCAATACCTGCTATGTAAAACACACACAAACTCTCTTCACTCTCATATGAACCCTCCCATCTCTCTTCACATTCTTTATTCTTCAACATAACCTTCAACTTTCATCTTCTTTCACCGTCTACTTGTGATTGTTAGACCAAACCCACAATAGTTCAAGTTGTTGGTGTTGGAGTCTCATCACATATCAAAATCAATTTAGAAGAACAAATATTCCCACCAATGAACTGATCTTCTTACTGAAAGGAATAATGAACAGGTTCGTATGTCGATATTAAAGCGCATAATTTTGATTTTTTTGATTTTTTGTTCTCTCAATTTGTGTTGCTTCATTCTCAGATCTCTGTTGAGGAACTATAGATAAATAATTTCGTCCTCAGATCTCTGTTGAAGAACCATGGTATATTTTGAATCTTCTATTTTTTGATGTTAAAGTTTGATTCGTCTTTTTTGTCCTAATCTGTTTTACTTACTATCATTTTTTTGTAGATCTTAAGGTATGTCACTGTAAGCAGCTTTTACTAGAGATGATTTATTTATTTATCTTTTTTCTATAATTATTTTGGAGTTTTGTTTTAGTTAATCACAAACCATCATGTTGGTGGTTGTTTCAACATTTCATGACTTAGAAATTTGGTGTTAATTTGATGGATTTTGTCGGAAATGAAATTAAGATTTAGTAGATGAAGAGAAAATTAGGTTTTGTTTATATGTATTTCACAATTGTGTAGGAGTGTTTCTTTTGGTTACAGACCAAAACGATTTTAAAGCAAAAGAATTAAAAAATTACCCAATTTAGTTTATGAAAAATCTGAGTGAAAAGTAAATATGTGAGGGTTTTAGTTATAGGAAGTTGAAGAAATGGTTTCATATCAGCTTCAGCAAAATCCCTCCTTTTTTTTATATACCAACTTGAAATTACAGTAATTACTTTGACTCTTGAAAATTTTAATTGTTTACTTGATGGAATCTAATTAACCTTATGTCAAATCTTTAACCTTTGATGTTAGAATTTTTAACTGCTATGATGCCCAAGGGACTTCCATGTGGAATTGTAAATATGAAATTTTCCAATCAGTTCAATCAATAGACACGATATTTGTTGCTTGATGATGGTCGAAAGATGTTCCTTGAATTTTTAAATTATTATTATTATTATTATTATTATTATTATTATTATTATTATTATTATTATTATTATTATTATTATTATTATTATTATTATTATTATTATTAGATTAATATATATTTTTTTTATTAAATTTTAAATATTTTTCCAATCTATTCTTTAGATATATTATTTCACATATGCCTCAATCATAATATATATTATTTCAATCATATTATATATTATTTCAATCATATTCTTTAGATTACTAAAATATTCTAAATATAATTGAGACAATATGATTACTAAAATTATATTATAATAATTATTATTGTGAATTATAATTGAGACAATGATATGAATTAATTATATATAAAAAGATATATATTATTTGAAAGAAAAATATATGTTTGTAAATTGAGAATGACATTATTAAATAACTCTAAAATTATTTTTATTTTGTTTTGATTATCATGTCTTTTTAGTAGTTATATTTGATTTAGATATTTAATTCAAGTTGTTGAATGCATCTATTTAATTATTCTCAATGTTAAATAAAATTAAAAATTAATTTGCAATTGTTATCAGATAAAACTTTATTAGTTTTATAAAATTTATATCTATTTTGTCAATTTTTAGTTATCTAATGAGTAAAGAGTTGAAAATGATAGTTGGAATAGTAATTTAATTATTTTTTTAATAATTATTTTAATTTTATTAATGAAATTTTAAAAATTTATTTGATTTTATCGTTGATATCAATTGAAATATGAATATTCTTTTTTTATATATTATTCTCAATATTTATATGATCACTATTATAAAATAAAAGAATAAAATATATTCACTCTGATAATATATATTTATGAAAATAATATATTTATCTAAGTTAATAATTAATTGTTAAATTAATATATTTTCGACTATAACTACTTTGAGATTAAGAATATTTATTTTAAGTGTTCATTTTTGTATAGTTTCAAAGAAAACATAGTTTTAATTTTAGTATTTACGTACATTCTCATATTTATTTAAAATGAACAATATTATACACAACAAAGAAAATTCTCACGATCGCGACTGACAATTTTATATATTTAACTGCTGCACCATCCACTTAGGTTTTGTTGAGCACAAATGATTAAGTATAGTAACCATTTTTTCATACACCAAGAAAACTTATTAGATATTTATGTTTGTTATTCTCCAAACACCATAAAATGAACAATATAATTGATTATGATGATTTATGTATCAAGAGAACTTATTAGATAGTCATGATGATTATTAGATATTTATGAGAAAGTTGATGTAGATGACAACTCAACTTTAAGCTAAGAGGCGAGGCGTCGATGTTGTTGTGGTTGTGTATAACGCATGTTATTGTAGTTCAATTGTAAAGGATAGTGCTAAAGAATTAATCGGTGAAGTAGCCTTAGAACAAGAAAAAGTGATTTTTATGTATTCATTATTTTTCACGAAAATACTCTCGCTATTATGTAATATATTTTAAAATTTAAATTTAAGGGAATATAATTAGTTGAAATAATAGTTGTCTTGTTAGATTATTTTTGTTAAAAATTGGATTTTTTTCCCGCTTTTATCAAGATTGGAACCGTGATATCCAGTAGAGAATAAATATTGTGTTTATTTATTTAAAAAATGAAAATGAAAATTTGAAGGTGTCATATAAGAATATGGGATGACGTGGTATAAATAAAATAGAAAAATTAATATGTGTTGCGATATAATTTATTGTTTCAAATTTAATATATTATATAGATATAGATCGTTATTGTTGAAGTTGAAATTCTGAAATTAAATATGAAAATAGAATCAAGGTGTTACTTGGATTCGGTAGCCAAAAAGGTTAGCTACTTCGAAAATGGAGGATTTAAGTTTGATGTTGTCTTTCATTTTCAAACTAAAACATTTTGATAACAGATAAAATAATAAATATGATTGTATTTATGTTGAATAAAGTCTATCTTGAGAATTAGTAATGTAGCATTATGTCTATAAATGTTTTTTGTTCGTGTCTTGTACGAATATGTTGGCTTTCTGGATTTCTTTTTGGAGTTTTTACTTATGATTGTTGTGTCAACATTTGATGCTTTTGAGGTTGATTACATTAATTCATCTAATAGGATGCAACGAAAGAATGGACAATCTGCATCATTAAAGGAAGGGTAGAGTTTTCCTGCTAAAAACTAATATTCTTCTGTTATATTTTTCATTTTAAATGTTGTAATTGGACTGGATTCACCTATTAGAAAATAACCGAGAAAGTATGTTATTCATCCTGCATCACTTGAAGAATTCATTAACTAACATACTAATATAGTATATATTACTATTCAAATACCAAAAACATGAATAATTATATTCTAAATATATTTTTGTGTTATTTATTCTCAAGTCATAAAAAGTACCAAAAGAAAAACATCTTTATATCCTGGAAAAGTGTAAATAACTAATAAAAAGACCTCCTATAAATATTCCTTAAATAGTTACATTTTATAACTTCTTTCATCTTTCACTTAAGAAATTAAACATGAAATTTTTTTTTTAAAAATTAATAAATTAATAACAAAATATGTGTTATTGATCAAAATACGGGAAATTATTTTGAAAATCGGAACAAGTGTATTATTGATATAAATATTTTTATAAACTACAAAAAATTTATTATTGATAAAAATATTTTTATAATTGAAAAAAAGTATATTGATATACAAATATTTTTAAAAACGACAACTTATATCTACTTAAAAAGTTCACGTACTCGATCAAGATATTTATTATTGATCTATATATTTTATATACGAAAATTTACTATTGATCGAGATATTTTTGTAAGCTATATCTAAACAAAAATAATATTTGCACACGGAAAAAAATATTATTGATCTAAATATTTTATATACGATAAATGGTATTTATGATTTAAATATTTTTTATTCAAAAATGATATACGAGAAAATTTTATTATTGATCTAAATATTTTTATATACGAAAATTTACTATTGATCCAAATATTTTTGTAAACGATATTTAAACAAAAAAATTATTTATATACGGGAAAAAAATATATTATTGATCTAAATATTTTTATATATGAAAAATGATATTTGTGATTCAAATATTTTTTATTGAAAAATGATATACGAGAAAAAAATTATTATTGATCTATATATTTTTATATACGAACGTTTACTATTGATCCATATATTTTTGTAAAATATATCAAAACGAAAATAATATTTGTATATGAGAAAAATTTATTATTGATTTAAAATTTTTTATATATGAGAAAAATAATATTTATGATTCAAATATTTATTATCCAAAAATAGTATATAAGAAAAAAAAATATATTATTGATTTAAATATTTTTATATACGAAAAAATTTATTATTTATTTAAATATTTTTTCTTTTTTAATTTTCTATTTAAAATAAATATATTACATAAGTAAATGTAGATATCAGATCAGAATTCACATGTATGTACGAATTTATTATTAGTTTATATAAATAAAAATTGAAAAGAGAGAATCGGTGAGAACCACCCATTTTTTTATTTCTCCTCTCACATAAGGAAAAAAAAAACAAGAGAGAAGTCCAGCCAATTAATATCGGATTACCTCATTTCAAAATAATTGTAGCAATATTTTTAGAAAAAATGATATGCACATGTAAAAAATTCAATCACCATTATATCCTGACATGTCACTTTGATATTTTTAAATTAGTTGTGTAATATGAATGATTAATGAATCTCTATTTAATGTCATTGCATTATATATATTCTCTTTTTTTTACAAACAATTTCATTGTAGCTTAAATATATATTTAATTTAGTTACTATATGTTATTCAATTTTAATTAATTTTAAACATAAAAACATACTTTTTCAATTTAAATAATACATTTATATTTAAATAAGTTGAATAATTAATTAATTATTTAAGTACGTCATATT